GGAGGCCTCCCTTGATTCTGGTTCCTAGGGCACTCCCTCGCATAGTGCTGGGCACTGCCGCATATGCGACAGGTGTTGTTGAGGCGGTAGCAGGGTCGGTCCCCATGATCCCTGCCGCAGTACTGGTAGATCTTCCCACGTGCTGCCCCCATAGCCCGATGAGGGGCCTGGACGGCAGGTCTGGGCCTCTTACTGTGTTGGACAGACATGGTAGGCGCTGGCCTGCGGAGCGGGGCTGAGGGTCGGAAACTTCCCGCTAGCCGAGGGCGGGTGTCGAAGCTCCTTTCTATGATCTGCGCCTTTGCCAGGACTGCCGAATATGTCTCGAGCTCCATCACCAATAAGTGCTGTCTGATCGCCGGGCGGAGACCCCACTGGAATTTCCTGGCCTTTCGGCCCTCATCCAACAATGTCTCCGGGGCATGTCGGCCTAGCTCCAGGAACTTGCGGGCATACTCCGACACTGTCATATTACCCTGGACCAATTGAGCAAATTCCATTTCCTTTAAATGTTGGATGTGTTTAGGGAGATACTCCGCATGGAAGGCCGCTAGGAACTGCTCCCAAGTAACTGGTACAAGCAGGGTGGCCCGCTTGAGCTCCCACCAGCGTACTGCTTCCCCTACCAGCATGTAGGAGGCAATGGCAGCCCTCTGCTCAGGAACTACTCCCAAGGTCTCGAAAGCTCTCTCAGTCTCTGCCAGCCAGTATTGGGCCTCTTCGAAAGAGGATCCCCCTGAAAAAGTAGAAGGGTTCAGTCTCCTGTACCTCTCTATGAAGCCGGGGTCGATCAAGGAGGGAGCGAGGTCCCGAGGTAGAGGGACTGGGGCCGGCTGAGGGTGAACTGGGGGACCCTGTGGTGGCGCCTGCTGATGTGGTGGGGGCACTGGAATGTGCTCTGGCGGCACCTGTTGGTACTGTGGCTGTGGTACCGGGTCGTACCGCGGCTGTGGTGCCGGGTGGTACCGTGGAGGAACAAGCTCCGCCGGGGTGGCTCGGGATCAGCCTACTGTAGCGGGGGCTCAACCTGCGCTAGCGGAGGAGGTCCCGGTAACTCCCTTCTCTCCTCTTGCCTTCGCTGGGCAGCTGCGAGAACCTCCACCATCTCGAATAGTCTATCTAAATCCTCCCGAAGTGAATTATCTGGGGT